ATTCTCCGAGCCCATGTCACGTGCTGTCCTGTGTTCCAAAGAAACATGTCCTTATTGTTCATTCTCAGCTAGATTACAGAGGGCAATGTCTTTTGCATTGGCCCCTCGCCGTTAGTTACGAGCCACAGGGCCAGGCACGTAGGAGGAACCCACTGAACATTTGTGGAATGAATGAATGAAGTGAATCACCTAAAGACAAATTATATGAATACATGCTGTTTCCCCTGCCTGAAATGATTTCCCCCTCCTTTACCTGCCTGGCCAAGTTCTACTCTTCTTGCATTCTGAGCTCTAAGATGCTTTCTGGTCTGTGAAGCCTGTTCTGGCCTCCCAGGTGGAGTTACTTACTCCATCTTCTATGGACCAACAGTACTGAACTTCCATCTCCCATTATTGCTTTTATCCCCTTGTATCATAATTGAGGGTTTACTTGTCATCTCACCAGACTGTGAACACCTAAATGGCAAAGGTTCTATTGTGGTTGTGTTCCTAACACAGTTCCCGGGCATCACGGGAGCTGTATGACTTTGTGCGATGACTGCATGGGTGACCCCTGCGCTAGCCTACCCTGACTTGAAAGCTGCCAGTTGTGGCTCACAGTTATTGAGCACTTACTGGGAGTCAAGCACTTTTCCAACTGCTTCATACATCTCATCTTGTCCAATCTTCATAACCGCCTTATGATGTAGATAGAAGTATCATCCCCATTTTACAGATAAAGAAATGGAGGCACAGAATGCTGATGTCAGTTGCCCAAGGTTGCACAAGTGGGCCAGCTCAGAACCCCCATGGTCTGTACCACAGTGTCCACCGATCCAGTCTGCTTAATGTCACTGTGTACAATGGTCATCTTTCCTGGACACTGACTAGGGACAGTGCTTGATGACTTGCCTGAAGACCTTGTATTGCCTCCTTTTTATTTTTTCCCCTTTGCCTTAGGCCACATCTTCTAGATACCAGTGCTCCCAGGACTTTGAGAAACAGACTCAACAGAGCCATGTGTTAGCCTGGAAGGGCACCTGCTTAGTGAATTTTGGAGCAGAATGGTTAGGAGAGAAGCAGTATAAGGTGGTGTGCAGGCCCACAACAGGAGCTTAATGGCCACGTTTATTGGGAGG